CCCGGGGCGCCCAAAGCCGGGACCCGATCTGGACCCGGCGGCAGAAGGCGCAAGGCGGGGACTGGTCCCGACCGACGGCAACAACTGGGAGGGCGACAGCGAAGGCGGCGACAGGAGCTTGCTCAGTCGCCGGTCTCATCCACCAGGAGCACCAGGTCCGAGCAGCGTCGCCGGGAGGATGTCCAGCCGCAGCCCTCCTCTCTCCAGCCTTTGGGGGTCTTCTGCTGAGGCATTGAAGGCAGGAGGCAGGGGTCCGTCATGGGCTCGGCAGGCTGCGCGCCACCTCTGCGATCTTGCAGGAAAAGGAACCTAAGGGTGGGCGTCTGGGGGCGGGGGAGGGCTCAAGGGTGGTGGAGGGGAACACGGGGGTGGTTAAAGGGGGAGGGGAAGGGAGGGAGAGGAAGATCAAGAATATGGCAGAGTTACCAAGTGAGCGCCTTGGTCATAGCTCTGGGTTGCATGACCCTCCAGGAAGCCCCGAGCCTGGGTGAGACTGGGCAGCTGAGCACCGCTGGTGCCCCCAGGGCTGGTGCGAGGCGCAATGGGGCGGCGGCGACAGCAAGGACATCACAGCGGCTTGGTTCGTGGGGGAGGGGGAGGGGGTGAGGACCAGGCTGGGCTCCTTCCCTCAGCCAGCTCTGGCAGAAGGGTCCAGAGCAGCTTCGCAAATTCCCCACTGCATCTCAGTGGAGGACGAAAGGCGTGGAAGGGGGAGGGGCCATCATGCGAAAATGCCCCCTTCGAGTTTGGTTTATCACTTTTTAAAGATTTGAAACCACCGTCTCCCGTCCCTCCAATGGGAGCTTTCTAGTCCCCTCTTCCAGAGGGTGAAGACTTCACCTTTTAGCCGCTGGTCTAACATCGGAAGCCCGGCGCTGGGAGAGAAAGGAAAGCGGTAAAAGTTTCACGATTAATCACCGGAGGAGATCCTCACGAGAATCCTACCAAACTGCTCCCGCAAAGACGCGGCCCCTTGACATGCATCTTTCTCGGAAAAACATACTCCAAACCGTCCAAAAGCAAACACGGATCACCCCACCCCAATACACACTAACGCGCGCGCGCTGCTCGTCAAACTCAGAGGAGAGAGGAGTTGGTGGAAAAACAGCAGGAAGAACCCTAATTTGTAAAAATGCGAATAGATGAATGTGAAATCACAGTTAAAAAAAACGAGGCAGCGCCATGAGGTGGGGTGGGGTGGGGTGGCGGGGGCTGAGGCTGGCAGCGTTGGGCAGTCCCTCCTCCCCCTGACAGTACAGCACCTCCTTCCACCTCTGCCCAGAAGCTCCGGGATCACACACTGACTCCCAGGCCTCTGCTGACCCCCGCTTGTGCTGACCACCGCGGTGCGAGCTGGACCTCCGCGGTGCAGCCCCAGCGGGTGAGCGACCCTCGGGCGCCTGCAGCACTCCCTGGCAGACTGCGCCCCAGCTGGGGATCACAGTAGTAAGGAAAAGGGGGGGGGGGTAGAAAGAGTCAGCGTCGCAGACAGCAAATGTATACGTGAGGCTGCAAAGACAGGGTCTCTTCAGAGAAGGCCAAGAAAGGCCTTGGGAAGAGACAGCAGAGCGCCCCAGAACCAGAGCTGCAGCCGCCACGCACGCACCTGCTGCTGAGGCTGGAGCTGGCCATGTGGTTGTGTGGGTGTCTGCCGAGTGGGCGTGTATGCCGTGATCCTGTCCACAGGTTCTCATAGTGGAGCTGGAGAAGGTGAGGTGAGGCTCGCGGGGTGAGGAATAATGAGTGACTCCAGTCTAGAGGGAATTGGCACTCAAACGCAAGCCTCTGGTTCCTGGATATTCAGGACTGCAAGTCTTGAATGGTGGGGTAAAGAGAGCAAACGGAGCCCGTTTAGACTAGATGACCAGATGTAGCCAAGGAGGCGAGAGAATTAGAGAGAGAATTAGAGCAAACAGGCAAGAGGAGAAAGAAAAAAGAGGAAGACGGTAGGAGGGAGAGGAGGGAGACAGAGAAGGGAGGGGAGGGGAGAGGGAAGAGGGGAGGGGAGGAGAGGAGAGGAATGGAAAGGAAGGAGGGAGGGAGGGAGGGGGAGAGAGAGAGAGAGAGAGAGAGAGAGAGAGAGAGAGAGAGAGAGAGAGAGAGAGAGAGAAAGAATCTGAATTGGAGGAGAGAACACTGTTCCTCCTAAAGGAAACCAATTTCTCTTGAAGTCAGGCAGGCCTGCGAGAGGAGCTATGAGCTTGGAAAAGGAAAAGCAGTGCTCATGGATGCTGCTGATCCGGTGAGTCTCACACTTAGTTGCAGGTGGACCCTTGGAATGTCCTATGGGAAGTTCTGTGACCCTCACGTGATTCTTGTGCCAGGAGGGGGGTGAGGTGGGAATGGGGGTTGGGGAAAACAGATTAGAGGCAGTGGAAGCCAGGAAGTGCCCCAACTGTGAAGGAAAAGAGATGTTCAAACAGTGATGAGCATGACAAAGAATGACTGTGAAATCAGCTTACTGGGAGAAGAGTCGCCTTTAAGCCGAGGGTGGCCTTCTTGACAAAGGGCTGATTGCTTGGGTATGGGAATTCTGAAGAGGAGATGGCTGTCTTTAGACAGATCCACAATGTGCTGTGTTTATAAAATGACAAAATTCTTCAAAGAAACTGTGGTAAACATTTGAAGTAGTTTTACAGAAGATTTTACTGCATTTTCAACTGCTGATTGAATACAGGAAAGAAGTTCTATTTGCATACTAAACTCCCCCTCCAAGTACAGTACCCTCCTCTTTCCTATTTGTCCAGTTTGTTTGCCTAGTCAGATAGTCCTTGTATCAGAAAGTAGGGTGCACTAGGTGACTACACATCTAATGGTCTGTCACAGTAAATTCAGAGAGGAAATCCCAGGAAAGGGAGGGGCAGAAGAAGAGAGGGCCAGGGTGCCTAAGAGTTACCCAAGCCTCTGTTGTAAGTCAAGGTCTCATAGTAGCCTGCCTAGTGTTCAGTATCTAGGGTACTTTTGGGCAGGGTCTAAGGCTGATAATCTTTGCCTCAGCTCCACCCTAGGTGCTGAAGGAAAGAGTACATACTTCTGACCCCTCCACCACCAGGGTCCCTCCACTGGGACTGCAGATGTCCACGTAATTGTTCTGCTCTCCTGAGCCTCCCAGGCTGCAGGGGTCTCTCTTTCTTAGATCCCATTCTTTTTCCTTGTGCCCTCATACAGGCATGCTCCCACAACTCTCCTGCTTCACAAGCTGGCTTCTCATTCTTAAGAATCCTTGAAGCTAAGCAATGCTGTCTCCCTAATAGGAGCCCAAGAGTGCTTTCTTTTTAAAAAGCTATGGGGAAAAGTTCAGCTTCCCCAAATGAAACCTATGAATAACTAGGGTCAACTTACTTGGTGTGGTTGTTTTGAAAGGAACACCTAATAAACTAGTATATTTTTGAGTTCAGAATGCCACCCTGCCATGATTCTAAAGGACTAGAATTAAAATAGTGACTACTACAGGAAATAGTGAAAAAATTAAATCTTTATGGACCCAGTAAGTGTCCTTGGTTGCCTCCCAGCTTGCACCAGTATAACAATAAAGGGGTAAGGAAGAGACCCAAATCCTAGCTGAAGAGGTGTGTGTCTTCACACCGAAATGCAAACATTTGTCTGCACGAATGTAATTCTTTATAAAGAACACTACCCT